TACCAACACAAATTTTAATATATGTGTGTGTTTTGTAGCCATTTGTGCTAGAAAAAAAGGCTTTAAAATACGAGAAATATACAATTTTTAGTTATTATCAGGGGTCTAAACATATAGGTTTTGGTATCATATGATTTTAAATAGATTATTTAGTACAATCTTTTATACCTTTTAAGATGTTTATAATGACTTTAGAGTAGTCGGCCTTCAGTCTAAAGTTGTAAGTGGACAATAATCACTGGACGACAATCAAGGCGGAAATTAACTTTGTAATCTCTTTTCGGACTAATAAAATTATCAGATATATCATTACGTCGATTTCTAAAATATAATTATGCACTAATTTATTAAAGTGTTAAACGTACGCTTCTAAATGTATACACATTTCTCGACCAAAACATAAGAATATCATTGAGTAGCCGGGTTGTTAACGGAATCACTGAAGTCTCTTAATAAGATTTTTTGCATTTAATATAATGTTATCACGACTAATAATTTATATAATTGGTTTTATTTTTTCAAAAAGGTATGTGTAGTCTATGCTATATTAAATTTTTTTTTCTTTAGTTCAATAACTAATATCGTTCAACACGTAGTAAAGCACTTTGAGATTTGAACAATAACTATTTTATAAAATATATTTCAAAAACAAGTATAACATTATAAAATATAGGCGTATAATTCACGTACTGATGGCTAGTATTTGAAGGTTAGGTTAAGTTTAGCCAGTGGGGCAGATGTTGCCAGCTGACGTGTAACACAGATTCTATTGACCGAGTCACCTATCATCTCCCTGTTGTTTAACATCCATTTGTTTTTTTATTTTCAAGGTTGTTTGACTTTTGTTTACGCCAGCCATCACGTGATGACCCAGTGGTTTCGATGATTTCACGCACGCGTGCATCCGACGATGAAGCAGCAGAACAGGGTTGATTTCAAACATACGCTCAATAAAGTCGATGAAAGAAAAGAAAGGCGAGTTTCGTCGCTTGTTTAGGTCACCAGATGGTTATCTTTCTTTTTTTTTTACATAGGCGTATCTTTTTACTTCTTTGATGGGGGACACAAACCTTATAATAAATTGCCTACTATGTGTCTGTAACTAAATCTGATTGTAAATTTTTAATTAACATTTAGTTCTAAAATGATTAATTACTTTATGTTATTCATTTAAGTTCAGTAGGCCTGCTTAACATATTGTAATTTATGCAAAGTAGTTTGGTCAGATGAATTAGTAAAATGATTTTCGCCACGTATTGGTTTTTTACTTTTATTGATATTTCCATCCAGTCCTCTGAATGGTTAAATAGTTACCATAGATACTACAAAACATAAAGCACGCGCCAATGTGGGCTATACATTGCCATTTGAAACAGCACAGTCAATCAAATGAGGTGAGTCCAAAATATCCAGATTTGTTTCTCTCCACTATTTCTTGTATGATTTGTCTTGTAGAAAAAACATTCTACTATCTTGCTTCTCTAATAGTATATATTAATTTTACAATGTACTAGCAATATATTAAACAAATAAATAGGTAGCTTCAAATCTTTTTGGGTATTTATCGGAATATATAATTTACTTTGTTACGATATTACTAGACGAAATTACCGCTGTATGAAACAGCAAGATAAAGTCATGTAATAATCTAGTCAAGTTGATATCGCTCACCAATGCCACAAGCTACCTGGGTTACTATTATTCAATTATTTCGAACATATTCTAGAGAATATTTCCTTTCGTCATGTTTAGCTGGGTATGGCATTTTTTAAGAAAATGTAAAAATTATCTCCACTTACCGTTATAAGGGCATTTGCCCGGGGTTTCAGATTATGTAGATTATTTTACAACGAAAGAATGTCATTCTTTATAAATAATTTCTTGTTACTCGGATTACAAAGATACATATAGGGCCTACCAACAATTTAAACTAGACGTTGAAATAGCAATACAGGATTAAATATCACTGTCTGTTAAATAGATTCACTTTATAGATAATTACGTAAAAAAGTAGGGGACGGCATGGTTGTGCGGGAATCGTCGGATCCATTTAGTGTATGTAGAACAGAAAAAGAGTTGTAATTTTTATCTACTAAGCTGTTCAATTGCCCAGGTTCTTTTATGCATCTCATCCTGCAGAAGAGGGGGGGGGGTGCAGTGCCGAAAAAATTACTTCCGCCAGCACAATTCCCGGACGAAAAAAAAAAATATATTCAGCCACTGAATAGCTGATGCAAGTTGACGTATCACACTGACTCTACTAACATAGTCACCCATATTTTTGAACACATGTCTTACCACTAACTTTTGTTTCAAGGTTGAGTATATTTTTAAAATCGATCAAGTGTCTTGCGCGCGTTCTTACTGCGAAATGAGTACGATCAATAATCAATAGGGTTTACTTTTTCAATGCCTACGCTTTAATATTAGTTTAAACGTTAGAAAAAAACTGGTAATTCACCTATTAACATATGCAACTGACAACACAGAAGTAAGACTAGCGATACGAAAATAAGTTCTAAACTCAGTAAATATAAAATGTGTTGAAGTAATTATTTACACTCATGCATCAAATATACTATACCCTATTCGATCAGTTTGTAGCGATATCTATTGTGTTTAATGTGTTAGTGGTTTTACAAAAAAGCATACAAAACGTGTTACAAACAAGCGTTTTTGTAACAATGCACTATAGGAGAAGTTCAATGATTTTCTTTAAATTATCTATAACTAGCCGTCCCAACCAGACCCTGCAATAGCCTCTCCGAAAAACCTTTCTGTAAAGGACCATTACTTGTGTAATTAGTAATCAGCATATACCCGGCATTGCCCACCCTAACTACAACTAACAAAAACCAAAACACAAAAAAAGCAAACATAACACATACGGAAATACAAACACAAAGAAAATACAATCAGAAACTTAAACGAAAAAGCAAACGAAAACAAACCAAAAGCAAACACAGACAAAAAAACAGAATCTCAACCTAATAGTCTTTTGCACGCACTTAAACGAGCTTAGGCGTCTTAGCAAACACGGGAAGGCCCGTGAAAACATAATAGCACACTGCCGGGGCGCCGGAGCATGCGCAGATTCGATTCACTTAAAGACTAAAGTAACCTTTCCTATCTACAGTCTATCGCACTGTTTAAAACGAAATTATGCACCAAAGTGCTCACAGGATAGTCCAGGGCGCCAAATCGAATCATGCTGGGGCGCCGGCGAACACGCCTCTTTCAATTTAGTAACAATTACAATACCCCAAGCAAACGGATAGAAGTAAAGATAGAGAACATTTAGGAGCTGGTTTTTTAACTGTTATTGGTTTTAAATTATTGTTGCGGTGCAAAGCAAAGTCATGTGATGGAAACTGTGAAGCTATAAAAAATAAACATTTTCAGTCCTTTTTCTACCCGGAGGAGGTTGTGGACAGCTGAAACTTTTGGTGGGGGAAGGGTGGTGACAAAATTTTCCCTGGACGGTAGGGGACACTTTTTTAAATCTAATTTTCAAGAGTTAGTGGTATGACTACGACTATATTTAGTAATGAATGAATTTGTATAACCTATCTTGGAGTATTTTCAATGAATTTTAAAGTTTCATGGGGATGCAAAATGAAAAACCCACAGATCTACAAATATTCAAGCCAACAAACACAGACATACTTTTATGTTTTTTTTATACATATTATATACAAATCAAAATATTGTGTATTTGTGTTTGTGTGTGTGTGTCCTGTACAGGTTTCATTCTGTCTTTTTGAAACTTTAGGAACTTGTTAAGATTGCTCCTGCAAAGATTTAAATGGGGAAACAATAAAATTTCCTAAGGGCGGCGACCCAATAGGCCACGATTCAATTCTTCTATATTCACGAGATTTAAAGTAAAAAAAAATATTGCGGTTCGACACAGTTCATTAGATTGCCATAACATTTTGAGGAGTTAATACGATATTTTTTTTTTAATTTTAGAAGGGTGTTGCAATTTTTCTCCATAGACAGTATTTTAAAAAAAAATTAAAGTTGAATGAGGTTCGATACTGTTCATCCTATTTACATGGAAATCGAAAATGTGATAGAATACTCAAGAGAGGGTCCTCTGGCGCCCTGCAGGGTGCAACTCGGCACCCTAAGTTTTCCCATGAGAGCAATAATATCTACGTTTGTTCTAAAGAGTGCGATAGATAGTGCGGTTTAGCGCCATACTTTAAAATGTGAGAATTATGACGCGTACGTTAAGAAGATGTTAAAAATATAGTATCACATGTGTATACATTTAAAAATATGTCTATTAGTGTCATACAGATTGTGAAATTTTGGTCGCATTTTGCCTGTGCCCATTGCCAAAACAATTTATTTATTAAGATTACAATCTTTGTTTTTGTTTGTTTTCTGGTAGGCTGGTTGTTTAAACCGTAGACCAGATTTTATAGTTTGCTTGCCATTTGGAAGCTGTTTTTATTTAAAATGTGTTCACGTGCGCAATGTAATATTAATTTATCTCTAAAGAACAGGTTTAGTTGTAGCTCAAACGGGTTGAACTAAAAGTTATAATATTCTCTTTTAGCATCATAATATAACTAGAATGCGCGTGATTCTCAATAACCATTATTTTTAGGGAAAACACACATACACTTGAATGGCAATTTTACTCAATTGTATTGAACTGTTTTCTTTAAAGTGAACACAAACTACCGTGCCTAGATTAAATATGAATATTATTTATGCAAAATATTCATAGCTTCTAGGTCAAGGCAATGTGTTACAAAAAACCTACATATAGATGACCTACGATAATATCTTTATCGTAATCAATATTCTCGGGTTAGTAAGGGAACATTTGTTTTTGAAAAAATAATAAGTAATCTAACAAAGGAAGTTTCCTTTTAAATGTTATATCTTTGATCATCTTAAGCTCTTAAGCACCTTCATCTTCAAACAAAACCGTTTACATAGTTTAGAATACCTCTGCTGTAGTGGATATTTATAAAACCCAGGAGTAAGACTAGACACACATCGACTTGCAGACAAACTTGGACCTGCTAGCTTAGACTCTTCAAAGATCCACACCCAGAGTAGACTCAACGATAGCCGATGGTTGGTCAGACGATACTGAACTAGTAGGTAAGAATCTAAAGAGGCTACTATCATTAAGGTTCTCAATAAAATAGTTCTCCTTATAAAGGCTCAGGTATGCTATTTTAATCGGTTTAAATTGTTTTCTAAGTTGGGTATATTATAGTGTTATATTCGTTTATGTATTTTGGACGCTACTTTTTTCGAGTTTTTAGTTATCATCGTTCGTTTGTTTGATTTTGAAACTGGGTTATATAGCATTTCTTATATTAATGATTGATGTTGCTTTTATCTTCTGCTTATTTGTTTGTGTTTCATTACTCGTTCGTTGGTTTGTTTGATTATTTCTTTCTTTCTTTTTTTTTCTTCTTTTTTTAAAATGTGTATTTCTTCCTTTCTTTCTTTATCTTTTTTTTTCTTTTTCTTCTTACTTATTTATTTTTAATCATTTAATTTTTTCTCCCCTTCTTTCTTTCTTTCATTCTATTTTTTTCTCTTTCTTTTTTTTCACTTTACGTATGTCTCTCTTTTTTCCATTAATGTATATGTCCCATATCTTAAAAAAAAGTATTGTTCACGTTGTTGAATCAATTACAGTCCCGCCAGACTCGCAATGCGAGCCAGGGGGGGAGGGGAGAGGGAGGAGCACGCCATTTAGGGGCCCACAGCCGACTAGAATCAAATTTTTATAGTTAAAAAAAGTATTTTTTTGCATTCTCGACTTGATTGTTGGTTTGCAAAAAGATTACTGTCATAGATTTTTTTTTAAAACAGGCTACTAACACACATGACATGTTGTTGGAATATATATATTTTTTTTAAATCCGTTATTTTTCAAACCAAACCAGGCCAAAAAAGAATATCTTAAGTTCGTATAGTGTTATATATATATATATATATATATATATATATATATATATATATATATATATATATATATATATATATATATATATATAAGAATTGACTATCAATCTATGATATAAATAAACATAAGACATATTTTTACACATAAAAAAAAGTTTGGGAGTTGAAATAATTAAACTGATTTTTTACATATTTAGAAATGTCAACTTTTTAGCATTCTTTTACACTTAAACCCTACAGTATTTTGGTTATTTACTTAGTCTAGAGGTAGCTTCCAGTTTATATGTAAGAATTAATCAACCCTATTACTATAGTAGAATATGATCATTGATTTTAAATGTTATACTTATTGTCCTATGAATAGGCTTATGTTATCGGTCTTCGCATAATTTGAAGTCTAACGGTCTTATGTTTGCCCACATCACTGAGTCCAAACACGCTCTAGTCTTTTTAAGACTATTTGAAGTATTTGTTTCATCATACAGACTATTAAATCTCTACAATCTTGTGTTTTTGAAATTTCTATAAGGATCTGATCTTTTTGGATTTAAAACGACAATAAAATCATAGGACTTTACTTAAATGGTTTAATGCCATCACATTAGGATTTGCAGAATAAATACGTTATTTGCCGAGCCCGATACAACGTAGATATTGAAATAAATAAATAGCTCTTCATTAGCCGTAATACGGCATCAAAGATTAATCTCAATTAATAGACTTATACATTGGTAAACAATAGCTTTATGTGATACACTCTTGATCTTCGGTTAAATAGGCTTAGTTGTATGGCAAGTTGTTATGACCGTCATTATATGGTACACACTAGGTTATATAGGCTTTTGAAACTGCGGTTTAGTTCGTTGTATGTCAGGTTGGGATGCCCAATGTTAGTAGGGACAAACTAAACGGTTTAGTTCGTTGTATGTCAGGTTGGGATGCCCAATGTTAGTAGGGACAAACTAAACGGTTTAGTTCGTTGTATGGCAGGTTGGGATGCCCAATGTTAGAAGGGACAAACTAAAGCTTTGGTTCAACAGGCTTTTAAAACTGTAGCTTAGTTTGGGTAATGGCTGCTTTGGATGTACAACATTATGTGGAACACGCCAGTTTGATAGACTCGGTATTACTTGGTTGCTATCAAACAGCTTCCAAAACCACATCACAGAATCGACTTTCTACACTGCAACAAGTTTTGATTCGTTTTGTAATGAAACAAACAAATAAAACACACGAAAACAGCTGTTTCAAATTTGTGCAACAAATATAGGCTATCGGGATATTGTTAGAAATCCAATATATTTTTACTTCTTTTTACATGGTTCTTAGCTTCTAAACACAAAAGCAAAATATTGATTGAAAACCAAGGTTGCTATCGTCCCTTTTGTATTGACAATATATGGCTTTGCTTAACGCAATAAAGAACTTACACGGCAAGATGTGTTTAGTGTGCACACTTGCCAAGGCCGCCCACATGCTTAAAGCTAAATATGTGAGATGTACATGTTTTTTCCCTATACATCACCGCTCCCCTGATAGATGTAGATCGTTAAAAACTCCCCTACTACAATTTAGGGGACATATGCGCAAGAAGAGCCTTGGGCAACTACTGATAGTGTGTTTTAAAGCAACATATTTTCATTAGCAGCATTGGTAGTGTCGAATTTACAAATTATGAATCACTGAAAAGTAGAAAATAAAACAACTAAATCGGCTCGCTAATTATATTAAAGTATGCTTTTTCATTTTTTTAGAAGCACAGTATTTTGAAGACATTTAAATGTATCGTTTTTTTCTCAATAAAATTTAGCTTAGAATAAAATAGATTTTAGATACAGCTAATTGCGTTTTATTTTAACTTCTGATCACGGGAGGGTAGTTGCTGCCAGTGGCGTCACAAGTCGGTGGTGACCCTTTGCGTTAACTACGTTTGCCACTTCTCCTAGGACCACGTATTACATATTTTTCTGTTAGGTGTCAACACCATGCCTAATTATTATATTATTTAAGCAGATAAATCATTGTTGATTGTAATGATCACGAGATTAGTGAACCTCGCCTTGTGTCGCCACTGTTTTGTGCATCATTGTTGTCTCATTTAAAAAGCCTTACCAACCCTCTTAATCACCTGCTACTGGCAGTAAGCCTACAAAATGTAACCCAGTCCAGCACCGGATGTGGTCTAACTGTATTTACCAGTCTCCCAATCCCACTACAGCCTGATCCATCAACCCCTGAAAAGTGCCCTTAAGGAGTGCCTAGTACAGCCAATATCAAGTGCCTTTATCATCTGATATGTTTGTAAAACATAACGTCAAATCGATTTAACACGTGCAGCCTTTGGTTTCGATTCAAACATGAAAACCACATCAAAGACAAATCTCCTTGATATGGTTTATCAAAGCGTCGTGTTTATAGTAAACCAAAATCGTAAATAAAGGGTAAAAATACATCTGAAAATGTGGTTACTCAAAAAGCAAGTAAAAATGATTCTCGCATTCGATTTTAAACTGTTTATTCAATGAGAATTAACAATATATATTTATATAAGACACATAAAAATAGTATATAGATTTATAGTACATTTTCTTCGTAACAAGAATGTCATAGTTCTGTTTTATTATCTATTTCCAATAGTAATCTACTAGCAACATATGACAGATCTATGCTACACAATTGTCAATTACTTTACCTTCTAATTGGTATTTGCAATTAAAGCTTATGGAAGATGCATTTTAATGTTTGGCCAGCAAAGTCCATATCACAAACAGTGTTACTTTCAGACTTTTTTCTCCGAGTAGGTTTGAGAGGGGGAGGGCACTTACTTTTTTTGGGGGGGGGGGGTAAATTTTGTCCGGTGGTGGAGGGTGTGGTAGGTGACGGCTACTGGTAAAAACATATAGTTTCTATATAAGTTTTATTTCGTTGATGCGAAATTATAAACATACCCACGTCAAAAAATGTAGGGAGGTGGAATTTTACACGGAGAGGTTAGACAAGGAATAGATAATAAAGAGTAATTACAAAATGTTGTGTTCTAAATAAAACTATATATTTTAAATAAAAACAAGTTACATGATCTTATCAACGACGAAACACATTCGTATAGTCTTCTTTTTCTGTTTAATTATAATATTGAAGTTGATTTCCTGCAACACAATTAAATTAAGTCTTAGTATTACATGGCTCAGAGTTATGCACCTTCTGGCCAGTTGACTTCTATTTCAGCATTTTGCTTCCTGAATTCATTAATTTTTATCTTCTTAAATACTTATTAAATTTACTTTCCAACAATTTGGGACACCTCTGGCTTTTCACAAACATGCGCTTCAATTTAATTCAATTCAACGTAAATAAGTGTAGAACATGTCTCGTTCCCTGCTATGTTTTAAAATTGAAAACAAGAAGCCTACACTTTAATCGTTTAAGTGTATTGCAATTGTATTATTTAAATACATCAATTAGACATTTTTCTCGAATGGAAAATTACCTCTTTAATGTAGAGTAGAGTAGAGTAGAGTAGAGTAGAGTAGAGTAGAGTAGAGTAGAGTAGAGTAGAGTAGAGTAGAGTAGAGTAGAGTAGAGTAGAGTGGAGTGGAGTGGAGTGGAGTGGAGTGGAGTGGAGTGGAGTGGAGTGGAGTGGAGTGGAGTGGAGTGGAGTGGAGTGGAGTGGAGTGGAGTGGAGTGGAGTGGAGTAGAGTTCCCTTTACAAACTTGATGGCATATAGGGCTAATGAAGTTGAGTTCACTTGTTTCTGTGACCTCGGCGTATGAAGGAATAGTTGGTCAGCGATTTATTGTCTAACATGAGTTAAGTACCCATCAGAGTTGGCTGGACTCAGGGACGTTATTTTGACATAAATCAGGATTCGAACTCGAGACGTACAGGTTAGCAGCCCAGCTCTATACCGCTAGACCACTCCATCTTTTAAGTAAATTTAAAACTATATTGTGTTTTAATTACTTTTTACTCTAGAACATAAACTAATCTGCATGTAAAAACTTATACTGAGACACAGACTTCAAACATTCCACTATTTACGACAGTTTTTAAAATGAAACTGTAACTGATTTTTAACGTCACTTACCTGTATACATTTTTTGCTTAAAATGTAAACAACAGAAAACATAATGTCTTTTTTGTGAAAATCAGTAATAAAAACAGTAGCTTACTCCTTTTTCTGTTTTAAATTAATTTTTTTGGGTTATTACTTGCTTACAGATAAACATTCAACTTACTTAAAGCATGGCGCTGGCGAGTTCAAAGCTAAATATCATAGTTGTGTTGGGCCTCTGTGTATATTATGCGCACGGTGAGTATCTGTTACATAACAGTTTAATACATTAATTAAAAATTAATAATCAAATAATAAAATAACGTTGAAATAACATAATATAATTTGCCCGTATAAAGTTTATCTGGCTTGTATAAAAAAATTTTTTATCGATAAAGCTGTGTGTACCTGTGAGAAAACTCCGCCTAGTGGAAAGTGTGTTTGTCAGAGTGACAACTCAAATCCTGCACGGTGTAAAGGTGAACAATTTGTATAGATCTGTTTTAAAATCTTGTAATTAGGTTTAAAGATTATCAAACTACTTCTGTTGTTTTTAGTTATCATAACATGAGTTATTGATGTATGTATGTATATATATATATATATATATATATATATATATATATATATATATATATATATATATATATATATATATATATATATATATTAGCCTGTATATGTGACCACATAACGACGTATGTGAATGGACCTTTGGCCTGCTCCTGTAGACCTGGCTATGCAGTCAGCAGCACAGATCGCAAGAAGTGTGTAGGTAAGTTTCACGTCAACTTCATTTGACACCGATATAAAATTTTTAAAAAATTATAAATTGTGACAGTCAAGAAAGAATTAAACCTTGAGTCAACTCCCCTAAACTTTCTGGAATATTCTTTAAAAAGACAAGAGGAATGACAACTCGGAATATAGACATGATTTTTAATCAATTTTTAATTAATTAAACTTTAAAACAGTGAGACATTTATTACTGTGTTAATCTTACCGAAATAGGTAAATTATGTTGCCTCATCAAAGACACGTCTTATTTTACAAGTTTTTGTAAAACTTGCTTCTTCGTTATTTATATTTTTTACAAACTTGGCACTTGAGTAAAGATCTGATGACAATGAACTGTGACACAAATTTGATTTAATCCAATTGGTTTTTAAACTTCAAAGAATTATTTAATATTTCCTGGATAAAGTACTACTCCCGCTCTTTTACACACATTATACGTTTTTATTTGGTGATCAATTGTTTTTAGGTTTGCTATTCACTCATTAATTTAAAAGTTTGGATCACTATACAGTCTATGAAATACCCTCACTGAAATTAAAAAAAGACCACGCTTTTCTTGTGAAAAGAGTGGTGGATTATTAGATGATTAATGAAATTATTTTTTTTTTTTACTTTCAGTGCTTTATTATATATTTATCTGTTTATAATTAATGCGAAAGTTCTGATTAGTAAAACAGTATTTCCTCTTGAAAATACACATTTCAGATGTCGATGAATGCAATCGTCCAGCTGGAAATCCGTGTCAGCAGCTTTGTACAAACTCTGTTGGCAGCTACTCGTGTTCATGTGGTCCAGGTTACACCGTCAGTAGCACAAACTCCAGCTCGTGCGATGGTGAGTCGTTTAAACATATATCGTCTTCAGACAAAAATATAACCTTTGCGCGTCCTTTTTGAAAACAGTGCACTATCCCTAAATCTAACCGAATACTTTTTATATTGCACTCTTTTCATCGCGTTGCTAATAGTCCTCTTTTAAACTTGAAGAAAAAAAAATTTGATAGACTCTAGGCGATTTATTGGAGATATGATCAAAGTTATCAATTTAAAAATATACTTTAATATTTGTAGCATACACATTTATAATCAGGGATGCTTATGATTTGTTACAAACAAAATTACATATAAATCATGTGTTTACATTTCTATTTTAATTATCAACACAAGCCAAAGTTTTACAAGTATAGAAATCAATTTTTGTATCGGGCGTTTATATTTACATTTTGTATATCAATAGGAATCAAAGAATATACAATTATAAATATTTTCATATTAAATATAACTGACATACAATATATAAGATTTATTCCTTGTACAATTTCATAATTTTCTTATTGAAAATATTCTTGATTATGTTATTAGCAATAAAGGCACTGTAACATCTGGACGTACCAATAAATTAAATGTATGTATACAGCAACACAAATTATTATCGTGTAATCGAACAGTCTACGTAAAGTATAACCGTTTACTTTTCTATCAAAAATATTTTCAGACGTCGATGAATGCAATGATCCAACAGGAAGTCCATGCCAGCAGATTTGTACCAACACAAACGGAGGCTATTCCTGCTCATGTAACCTAGGATACATCGTCAGTAGTACGGATCGCCAAAGCTGTATAGGTTAGTGTTTTAACAGTACCGATTTTAACCGCCGTACTTCCCATACGAACAAATACCTGACAGGATTCGTATAGGTAATATGGAGTGTATTCACCCATACAATTACGATTTGGTTGAGTCATATAGTTTTGTTTCTTTCAAGGAATTGTATCAGACTTCTCAGACCACCGAAATCAGTAGTCTTCAACCTTTTTGGATGATCCGAACTTATTTAATTAAGTATACGCATGTAATACCTAATATTTTCTTAGTCAATATTTATTCAACTACTGTCCTTATTTAAATGTGCATATAACAATCCTGATAAAGATAGGGCTAGAGCTAGGGCTAAGGCTTGAAATGAAAACCATACGCTAACTTATCGTCGCTTAATCTTAACACAATCTATATATAAATATTGATTAACGCAGTAATCAAAACACAAGTTCTTGTCAGCAAATCAATACATACACACCGGAAAGCTACTTGCGTTTTAGTAGTGGATACATCATTAGTATTGCAGAAAATGTATGGATATGTCATTCAATGAAATACCACCTGTTATACCGTGGGTCTGCAAGTAGCAGAGAGCGGGTCTACTCTACCATTATATTCCGTCTAACCTTTAATAGTTCATTCTAAAGCACAACGACATCAGTGCATACAAATCACTTCAAAAAACGATGCTAGAAAACTCTAATATCCATTTCAAAATACTAATACATGCAACGAATTTTACAAACAATATTAAGACTTGAATGCATTTACGGCCTCACTCCAAGACTACAAGAACAAGCCTCCTTTCAGTTTTTTCCCGGCAACAACGATCCTCATAAATCGTCACTTTCATTCGTTCAATATTGACCCGCACCAGCATCCTTGCGCACCTATTTGCCTATTCAAACAAACATCATAACATTACCCCCAAACCTCTATGCTACTAACATTAGCTTTAACTAATGAATCAATAATCCAACATTTTGTTTTATCTAACAATGCCAGCTGTGGTAACATATTCACATCATAGACCTTAACGTATGAAACAATTTTAACCAATTCTTGAAGTTTCTGTTAAGTTCATCTCTCAACACATACACACACAAACACACACACTCACATTTTGACGACTTTGCGAAGTATACGTCTCAGAACACCAGTCAGGTATACATGCTACAAAAACACTTCTCGTTGATTCATCATGTAAAAAAGAAGATTCCACACAATGCCGATCACATCTTAGACCTTAAAACATCACATCAGATACGCTGAAAGAAATTATTCCTAGGGGAAAACAACATATAATTTCAAATCAGTTATCATTATCAAACAGTCTTTCTAACCTAAAGTATTAAACTTAGTCTAATGTAGTAACCAAGCTACATTATTTATACAATAATTCACATAGCACGTATTAATTTGGTGCCAACCAATTTAGTAGCTACATCGAATTTCATAATTCTTTACATCACAAACACTTCAATACTTTCGTATAGTGACGGCTATAATAGCAGCCTAAGGCAGGGGTCGGCAACCTTTGGAGACAGAAGAGCCAAAAGTTGCCAAAAGTTACACTTTACAAGATCTCCCACCTTTTAAAGAGCCACTAACATTTTAATTTCAATACTATGATCTATGGTTGTGATTAGGTATATATATATATATATATATATATATATATATATATATATATATATATATATATATATATATATTTATATATATATACTAGCCGTCCCGGCCAGGCCCTGCACTGGCATCTATGAAAAAGTATCTGTAAAGGACCATAACTTGTGTGTTCAGTAATCAGCATTTACCCGGCATTGCCCACCCTAACCACAACCAACCAAAACACAAAAAACGCAAACATAAAACAAACACAAATACAAACACAAATGATAATACACAATCAAACACAAACCCAAACTTAAACACAAAGAAAACACAAACGCAAAGATGAACTCAAAGTGTCCACAGTCTAGCCCGGGGCGCCAAATCGCACCATGACGACGTGCGGCGTAACCGCCTGATTCAACTTTGTAAACGACTATAGTACCCAACTTATTCATAGTCTTTTGAACTCACTTACGCAAACGTAGGTACCATAGCAAGCACAGGAAGGCCCGGGGCGCCAAATAGCACCCTGTCGGGGTGCCGGAAGACGCCCGGATTTGATGCACTTAAAGACTATAGGAACCTGTTTTATCCATTGTCAATCGCACTGTTTAAACACAATTATGCACCATAGCGCTCACAAGATAGCCCAGGGCGCCCAATTGAACCGTGCAGGGGCGTCGGTGGACGCGCCTGTTTCAATTTATTGAACTAAATTATAATACTCTAAGCGTATCCTTAAGGGGAAAGAAATAAACATTTAGGACTTGTGGGGCCTGGCTTATTAACTGTTATTGATTTTAAAAAATAATTAGTAAACAGTACGTTCAGTGTATACCAACGACATTGCACTTAATCACCTACGTTCGTTTTAAAAAAAAAGTTTATACACTAAAAGCTCGATGGGCAACAGTAATGGTTGACTTAATCGAATCAGACGCGCCCTCAGGCGTCTTTGCAGGGTGCAATTTGGCGCTATCCCTCGAGCACTACGCGCCTACGTTTAAACATTCATAATGTGTAATGTTGTATAATGTAGTAAATAAACTAAAAGGTAAAACGTACATTTCAAGCAGTAATCGTTGACTTAATCGAATCAGACGCGCCTTCAGGCGTCTTTGCATGGTGCAATTTGGCGCTATCCCTCGAGCACTACGCGCCTACGTTTAAACATTCATAATGTGTATTGTTGTATAATGTAGTAAATAAACTAAAAGGTAAAACGTACATTTCAAGCAGCACTGATACCAAGAGATTAAGTAAAATGTTTTTTCACGACACACTTAACGGGCGAATATTTTAAATTTGGGGTAAATTGTACTAATTGTATTAGCACTCAAATTACATTTTGGGTGTCTTTTGAAGTCTCTCCGGTATTGTGTACCGAAGCAATCAGCGTAATGCGTTTAACTCTAGGGATACTTTGCCTGATATTACCCATTATCAAATCTCGCGGGGTTGGGAGTGTTAGTATGCGATAGTTTATCCCGTTGCTTATTATTAATGTACCCTTACATCATTAATTTAATCACAGTAAAACGTTCAGAAGTTGTTGCTGATCAACATGAAAGAATTTATGGCATAAATTTCTATTTAAGCCCGTTCATTGTGCTGCTTGTACGATATATACGGCTGGTCAGAGTTATTACTTGAACCTATGTTTAAACTTTACCACCGGTAACCTCCATTGGTCGTGATTTCTAGAGCGTTTCAGGCTCCGGCTTGACCAATATGGTGCCTATATTAACGTTGACGAGTGTCCTAGAGATATAATAGCATCTAATATTGCAACAAATAATTTCGATTTTGTACGCCTACAATAATTATCTTCATATTTTGTGTACAAAAAGATAAATATACGCAGAGAAACTGGGCAGTAAATATTACACTGGCAGGGACTACATCTTATTTCGATGACGTTTCCATACTAGCACTTTAACAGAGGGAGATAATATCAAAACCATTCTAATTATTTTTTATCAATTCTACCGTTTTATAAAACAAAATGTGTATATGTTAATACAAAAGATTTGTATAAAAGAAAATGTAAATACAAATTAATGATTTATATAAACAAGACTTGTTTGTATACATTCAGAAGCATGCAAAACTGTAAATAGCAGTGAACCTCGACCTCTTGTGAACATAAACTCTAGAGTACAGGTCATGTGTGACACAGTGACAGACGGTGGAGGATGGACCATTTTCCAAAGACGTGTTTCCGGGACTGTAGATTTTTATCGGAACTGGATGGAATACAAAAATGGGTTTGGTGATTTTACTTCAGGTAATTTTTACCTGGGTAATGAGAATATTCATCTCTTAACGTCTAACCGTCCAACAGAACTGAGAGTTGATATGATCTTTAGTGGGACAAAATATTTCGCCAAGTATTCCAGCTTCAGCATTTCTAGCGAGACAGACGGCTACAGGCTACATGTTGGTGGCTACACAGGAGATGCTGGGGACAGTCTAGGCTACCACAATGGTGCGATGTTTTCTACATTCGACCGGGATAATGATAATGCAATCGACTATAGTTGTCCTGAACATAAACACGCTGCTTGGTGGTATTTCACTTGTTACGAATCTAACCTTAATGGTTTATGGGGTGCCACCGGAGAACCAGGTATTAACTGGCTACCCATGGAAGGCGTTTCATTCAGCGAAATGAAATTTAGGTACGTTTAACATTTACCATTAACAATAATTAAAGAATCAATTGGCAACCAAAGTATAAAGCTTCATTTAGTGAAATGAAATTTAGATATGTTTAACATTAACAACTAATAAAAACGGCTTTTTTGGGGAGGAGTGGGGAAAGCCTGTTTAATACTTAAATCAATATCTAATTTTAAATTCAGTGAAAAGTAAAAATCGCAATTTTTAATAGAATCAGGACAGTCATAGACACACAATAAGCCGCTAAAATCGACACACAATAATTCTTTTCGGATCAAAGTGAATTAATGTTCCTTTTGTCTCTATTTGATAGTAAATTTGTATAACTTGGGATTTGGGAGTTACTCTTAATGGATATGCCTATTTTATATATTTTGTTTAAAAGTATTTATTTGAAAATTAAAAAAAAAATTCATGAGGGATTTGTGTTTGGTATTTTTCTCCTTCGTATTTGATGAAAAACTTGGGCTTATCTCTGTTGGAATTGCACCTTTTGCATAATTTTACTTATATAAACAATTTTTGTGCTGTGTTTTGTGAATTTGTTTTCGCAAATTGGGAATAAAATCTTTTATCCATCTCTTGTCGCTTTTGATATTGTATCTTAAATATAAAATAAATGTATTACGTGTTGGCCAAACTAGGCATTATCAACCAACAAATTATTGGCATTATTTTGTTAACCTGTCTTATAAAGTTTCGGTCACGAAAATAAAATATGTATGCGTAAATTAATAAAGCGGGAGTGATCTTCTCTAAGCCTCGTGGAATATTCTTATAAAACACCACGAGGGGTGGCAACTCGGGACATAGTAATGATTTTACAAGCTTTTAAAGAACTTTCTTCCTCTGTCCGTCTTTTGTCAGTCTGCCTATCTGTCCTCATAGATCGGAACGCTCGAGCGAAATTTCGGGCATTTATAAATGACATATTCGGTTCAAAGTTGGCGAGTAAGTCAAGACATGAAGACAATGCAATCTGACACTAATTTAGACTTAATACGATGCCAAATTATTTTTTAATAATTAATTAAAATTGTGTCCGAATTAGTAGGAAGTGTTATTCAACTATTATACGCGATTTGTCATGTTCATTAGGTGCGCATTGGTTTTTAGTCCTGTAACTCTATTGTAAATTTTTAAATTTTAGGTACTGAAACAATTTTCTAAAAAGCGTTTTAATAACAAGCTTTTCAGTAATAATGCACTAAAAGGTAGAAAATGTATGACTTGCTTTAAATACATTATAATACTCCACTATTTAAATATTTATAAAGAATAGCGAGGGTTACTTCCCCGATGTTAGTAAAAGTCTTCAATAGATAATAAAGTAACCCACTCTTTTCTGTATAGCTTTTTAAATAGAAGAGTATTATTATATATTTAAACAAATGTATTTATTTAATGTATTTCGTATTCTTTATTAAATAAAAGCTTGATAGCAAAATGTTTTTTTTGTGTGATTTTTTAAATGTTACACAATAGTACGATACGTTTTTCTAAAATTGGTTTCTTGTGTAAATGGTAGAGTTTATTGACTTACTAATTTAATATAAATTTTTCGAATAAAAGTGTTGTTCGAAAACTTGGACTTTATAAAGAGGTCTAATACGGCAATAATCTTCTAAAATAATATAGGGCTTCATTGTTAGTTATACATATATAAGCCTAAATCTTATCTCCACAATATCACAATGTATTACTATTTTTTATAAGATCTATAATGTAATCTAGATTAGTACTTGCATTAAATAGCATGCAAGTTTCGACAAAAAAATAAAAAATAATGAAGATTACTGTAACTGAAAACGCGTAAATATATACATAAAAAAATAATGTAGATTCCAGTCTAGTCTTTAGACCTAATCAACGGTAATAATTTAGTTGATCTAAATATACTTTTATTAATTACATAATTATTTATATAATATAGGACTATTTCATGCAAAATTAGATGAATACTTAAGTAGATCTTGACCTAAATCTAGAACCGGACTCTATAGTCTATATCTAATCTAAATTAACAATTTCTGACTAGATTTAGATTAGTTTTTACTAGATATAGAATACAGTAACTAGTTCTAATCTAATTTTTAGATAAAGATCTAATAGCCTATTTTGTAAAAATCTTGTCTCGACCTAATCAACGGTTTAGTAAATTTAGAATACTAAAACTAATTAAATTAATAATTTAGGGATGATTAATAACTAATATTGGAGAGCCGTAATAAAGAAATGCAATATTTTAGTAATGTAATAATTACTGGAAATTTGTCTCGAAATAAGGTTCTCTCGCGGTAGTATTTTCGGCCTATGTGGAGGGTTTAGACTTAATTGTTTTAATGGATATTGATTTTATGTTTTCCTAAGATTTGATAAGATAATTTTGTATGTGACTTCAACATTTTAGTATCTATTTTTTATTCAATATTACCTTATATTTGAGCACACTAATCCTTGGTAGGGTTGTAAGCACAATGCAAAAATTAAAAATTGATTTATTTTTCAAACCATCTGAACGGAATGATGATGACCCCTACGCCGATAAAGGTAGACCGTGTGCTCTGCTGAATAGCCTAAAATGGATAGTCCCTTTTAATACCTAAGGTCAACCGGAAGACATGACTTCATGTTCACGATTCAGCCATCATTGCCATGGCAACAAAGTTACAACAAAAGCTGCGCAACTTGCAAATACAATTCATCCAGGAAATTAATCGCAGATATGTTTCTATTTTGAACATGAAAGTGATAATTTGGCTAATTAATTAAGACACACACTTTCACTACACACTCCACCTAAAAGAGCCCTACAGTTATATGCAATTTGTTAGTACGAGTTGAACGTCTTTTATAGCCTTAAAAATGGTAATAAACTTTATGTAATATCGACTTAATGTGTACTGTATTAGGTTTTTTGATCCTACTTACATGCTACACTTGTCTTTGAAAGCTTCTCATTCTTTGAAGGTTCTTTCCATCTCTTTGCATGTAAAATAACCATTTAAATGAACTACATACAGCTTATGAAAATATACAGTGCCATTATGATAAATGGAAAAAAGATGCACCATTTTTTTAATTGACTAATCATTACAAATATCTTACTTTTTAGTTGCTTCATCCAGATTTTTAAATTTCTTTTTTTCCCCAAAAACAATTGAAAAACAAATAAACATAAAAACCATAAATATGACTGGTTCTTTTTTTTTCTTGCTTTTAATAGTGTATTTAAATGAAAGAAACTTGTAAAATAAGTAATGAATCTGAATAATGAACCGAATGTTTTTATTCAGAAGCATAATTGTTAACAATTTATTGGCTATGATTTAGATAAATAAACAAACATAAAATTTCCTTACCTACATATTGCTTGTGCTACTTTTAAGTCAGTATTTGTTTCACCATCTCCGTCATAGTATTTTATATAGAGGCCTAATGTCGTGGTCTCAAGTTATGTTCTCATGTCGTAAAACCGATGGCCTCATGTCACAGGATCAAGCAAGCTGCCATTACCTAATTTTTATATTGCATGTTTCAAGTATAGATTGGCGCGAGTAAATGTTGTTGCGAAAGGTATGTTGAACGAGTTGGAATGATGACACGAATTGAATGATAGTGAATAGAAGCTTGGTTGTTATGTATTGTTTGTTAGTCTTATCTTTATCGTCGTGGTGAGAGGACGTATGCTGACCGGTGTGACTCAGTCGGGAGATTGATTCGTGAGATAATAATGTCAAATATCAGAATACATTAGTAGAAGAAAGCCCTGTATACGTCTGATCCATAAATTGTCAACTGGTCGTCTGGTTGTGGAAAGACACAATGCATTTAAGCCCGTAATTATGTTCACGTTTTACCGGAATTATTTTTTTCCCCTCATTTTTTTTCAGTACCCTTGCGGCTAAATGACCCATATCTTTTTACCCGTTAATTTAAACCCCACACATTATTGATAAAAACTAATCGTAATTGAAAACCCTACACACTGATATAAATTTTAAGGAATTATTTATTTATTGAAGAAAGATCATTACTTAGTTTTAAAGAAGCAAAAATAAAGCGTTAATTTTTTAGTGCAAAAATTACGCTTATTTATCTACAAAAATCATGGATCAGATTAGTCTTAGTATAAATACTTTAATTTTCGTTAATTTTATAATGCGGCGATGTAAACGTTTAGACGCGGCCGCTAAACGGCATTCCGCAGTGTTAAAAAATGCCGTTTTTCGAGTTGTTTTACAAAAAAAAATTCTATAAAATACAAAATCGATCTTACGAGAAAACTACAAGAATTAAATACAACGAAAAATGGCCGCTCTAGCCAATCAAGTTTGTTTTCTTTTTAGCAGCATGTCACACAAACAAATTTAGAGTAAATATTGAGTCGGTAGATCTAAACTTTAACGTCAATATCTAATGTTGCTAGATCCAAAATTCAAACAAACACATAAAAAAAGGAAAAAAAAGATTTACACATACAATGATTATTTTGGTAGTTAATTAGTACATAGCCTTTTGACAAAATATTTTTTATTTCACACAAAAAATACTAAATTTATTCGCTACATTCCAATAATTATTTTTCTTAAAAAATAACGAGGAAATTAATTAAAAGATCAAAAATGTTCAACAATAATGTCAAAAAATATTTTAAAGAGCTGATGTTCAATAAGCGCCATGTTTGTTTACGCTACAACAAGAGAAGACAACTACAAGTCCCAATTCACCCACACCCCACTATAATTTAATTTCCAGAGTTAGCTCCACTGTGAGGATGGTCAGGCAAATCACTGCCCAGTCTGTACGCCTGAGCCCCGCTGTTACCTGGGCAGGTACACGTCGTGTATGTGTACCTGATCCCTTTATCCCCCACTTCCTGCCTGTGTACCCAGTGACCTACAGAGATCTTCTTAGAACAGCCATGAGGATATGACACTATAATGGTCAGCTTGTCCACATCTCTACGATTCCTGTATTTTTCACTTACTTTCTCGTGTAGACCATAGAACCGCCTCACCATCTCCCTCAGTTTATGAGCTACATCTACGTCATGTGTCACACAATACAACACACAACAGTCTGCCTCAGTGTGTGACACACTCACCTCCCACCCATAAATGTTGACAACTGGACTTGTATCATCATCAAACCACAACCTACAGCTGGACTGTCTCGCCTCACTTTCATCAAAAACCACATGTCTGGCTGTCACCACATCAACCTCCCACCACATTTTGCTGGGTGTATCTGAGTGGTCACATTCAGGACAAGGGCAAGTTCCCATTCCGTCTGTGTACTTGGTCACTTCCCACACCCTCCCAGTCCCTGTCCTCGATGAGTTCTGTCCCTTGGTGTTGTAGCAAGGATATGGATCTTTAGTGCCTGCTACAACCTCTGGTCTGTTTGGACTGGTGAACTTAACGGCTATCCTGACGGTTAGGTCAGCTATGGCTTTTGTTAGATCATATAGGCCGTCGTATTTGATGCCGAATGTATGGTGATTTGCAGGTAAAAAACTTTTGTGGCCAGGACTTTTCTTGCAGTTTGCAAGAGTGTGTTTGTAGATCGATCTCACCTTGACCTTCAAGACATTCTTGCACTTCATGTGTACCTGTACAGATAAAGAAAACAATTTCATTACTGTAAAAAATGAATTTGCTGTTAAACTGTAAAAAAACATAAAACAAAAACTTTTTACAACTTCCAACCTACACAATCGTCTCAACCTTTAATATCTTAAGATACTCATCCAGTTCACATTTTAAACTACAAAATGTTCCAACATAAGAACTTCATCATCAACAAACCGGAGAGTAGCTACATTGATATAATTTTTTTTTTTGAACAATTTATAAGTATAATTTCTACCTAAAATGAAATTAAGTAAACATTACCTGTAAAGTACTTTGATATGTCTTTTACATTACTTGATAGTTTGGTGTGGTCATTAACATGTATTTTAGTTGTTATACTCCCCATTTTATACCTGTAAATGAATTAGGTAACTGGTGTGCGAATAGTTTCCGATTTAATATTCATTAGGTTAAAAAAAATTACTAATGATTTAATGTTTTTAGCCAGAACACTATAATACATGTATTGAAGTATATATTTATAACTATTTTGTTTTATTTAAATAAAAAAAGAACAATAGTCAATGGTAACAGAAATTGAATACTGAATGATGGACAGCTGTAGAAGATTATGTACAAATACGCTCTTAGAAAAACATCGGATAT